TAAGCGATTTGGGATCTCTTACGAGGCAAAATAAAATCTGCCCAGATCTATGATCGCTTAAGCGATCCTCTATTATTACTTAAGCGATTCGTCGCTTTTACTCTTGGTCGCTTAAGCGATTGTAGATCGCTTAAGCAATCATTTGAGAAAAAAATCTTGGTCACTTAAGAGATATCTGTGGTCGCTCATATATCGCTTAAGCGATCATGAAAAAAAAGAAGAATCCTACATTTCTCCTGTATTACGTAATAATCTGTCATTTATTTTCCTCCCAAATACGAAAAGAATAAGCAGTAAAATGAAGTCATTTATATCAATCTAATCCATCACAGATCAAAATATAAGAGACATCAATGTAATTGAAAGTTTATACTTAAAATCATTCATAATAGTGCCAAAAATGAATAAATCCTAAGCCACTTTGACAAGTTTTGGAATTCGGTATAATCACTGTTTGAGATCATTCTTTGGTACCATGCCTTGCCAGCAGCCTTGATTGCAAATGCCGCCACAATGAGAAGTTTTGGAATTTGGTATAATCACTGTCTGAGATCATTCTTTGGTACCATGCCTTGCCAGCAGCCTTGATTGTAGATGCCGTCACTTTGAGAAGTTTTTAAATTTGGTATAATCACTGTCTGAGATCATTTTTTGGTACCATGGCTTGCCAACAGCCTTGATTGCAGATGCCTCCTCCTAGCCACCAGCCTTGATTGCAGATGCCTTGCTGGCAGCCTACTCTGACAGCCCAAGCCAGTTTGAGGAGTTCCCTCTCATTGTTTGCCAGCAACCTGCAAAATTATCCGGCACACCTGCAACCACGTCAGCTTTTCTAAATAAAACACGAAAAAACAAAAAGTTTTTCAGGGCCAATTTGTTAAATGGAAAGTTGGGATGTCCGGGAGTAAAATTTTCTCTCTTCACGAACCCAAGTTATGGAGTGCAAAATTGAAAAGTTCAATGAGTTCGTCTATTTCGGTAAAGCTGTGTATAAGCATGACACCTGCAGCATCAGCACCACAACGCAAGTGTTAACATCAACATCACATAAACTACAAAATTAAGAGTACAAGTTCCAAACCTTTTCATTGGGTTGTGGTCACTCAAAACAGATCCATTTCCCCATGGAAGCACTCAATAGCCCAGCGCTCCCGAAAGATGCTCATTGTTTTGTCATTCAATCCGTCCATCGGGCTGTTGGTCATGTTGAACTGAATAAATTTCAGGGCATATGCCCCACAATTAGCACTGCAATAGGAAGATGATATTAGCATTAGAATCAGCTTATAGAACATTCTATTATGTAAGTTAGTTTTATAGAAAATTTACCTTGACTCATTTGTTGGGAGGGAACGCGCTTGAGTGGCCACTTTCCAGTCAATGCTTCATCACCAAGGTGCTCAAACATCCCGCTCTCGCTTAACAGCTGCAGGAACAACACGGACAGTGCCTCCAACTGCTTGTCTCGACAAATTGTTGGGTTGCAGTCAAGGATCTTCAGCAACCTCTCCTCTAAGAGTGCGACAACTGCTATCCAGTGCATTTCCTTGACCAAGATGATGCAGTAGATACTTTTAACCTTTGTCCAAATGTGGCCATATTTGGGCCTGTCCCCCATTACATACTGCATCATCCTGTCATCAAACTTAAAATCATTAAGGACGCAGTCCAAGTCTTCTGTGCCTGATCGTTTTCTCTTGGCTCCTTTTGCTATAGATGTACCAATGGCCTTTTTTCAATAAATTGCAATATGTCGATACCAGTGTTTGGCCAAAGGCCACATCGGTGATGGCACAATCGGGATACAGTAGATCACCATTGCTGGTTTGTCACAGCCTCATCAGTGCCAATACCTCATCGATGTGCTGCATCAAATAAAAACAACATGATAAGTATACAATACCTCATGGAAAATATAAGCAAAAATAAGGAAAATTAAGCGAAAATAACTCCCGAGAGCGTTGAAGACAGCTGCCCATTGTCAAAATCTTTTCAAACCAATCCCGAGAATAATCCCCGGTCTTACACTTTACAAGGGCATCACTTCCGGATTCATTGTAATAGGCATAGAAAGGTTTTTCTTTTCCTCCTCTATTGGCCTATACAAATCGACAGTGGACTCATTTTTGCTTGCCTGCTTCCTCCCCCTTCCTCCATTTGTACATCCCGCTTTCTTCGCCTCCCCTAACCTCCTCCATTATAACTACCCCACTTCCTCCAGAAACCTCTTTAACCCCCTCAATTTTGGTTCTTCCTCAATTTGTTTCTTTGTTTCTCTTAATTCCACGTGTTAGTACGGTGTAAGGCGATTTCACACAAACCTGTCTTTGGCTCTCTCTTTTCAGCTCAGGTTGCACTTTAACCGCCTTTAATACTTCACCAACTTCCTCCTGCACCCTACCAACTTCCTCTCGCACCCTAAAACTTTCTTTGCCACCTTATCCACTTTCTCCACCCTTTTCAACTGCTCTTACATCTATCAAACAAACTCTTTATGAGGTCAACCAACTACTCTCCCGACCGATGCCTCGGCAAAGCGATACTTGTTGTACTAGTTTGTGAGGCATACGAACCTTTTCCTCCCTCCCCTCTCCTCCCTCCCACCGATTGCGCCTTCATCTCCTTGGCGTCAACCGCATTCTTAAGCAGTGGCCCTACAACTGCCCTCACATGTGTGACCCCTTATAGGTCCCGGTCAGGCGGTCTATCTTTCATCCCTTTGATCCTCCAGTGCTCGGAAAGATGTGACATAGTGCTGTTGCGCTTCACCCAGTAGCGGTGAGGAAGGGACGGATAACACCCTGCAATAAGAAACAAAATCAATCAGATTTAATCGACATTTTAAAGCAAGTGCATGTTCAAGCTTAATCCTTTAATCTTACCCGAGCTGATTGAATTTCAATCTTATTTGCTCATAATCTGAATGGGTACACTTCTGGTCGTGCAACAGCAACATCTAGGAAATGTCTGTTGCACAACCGAAAGCCCTAATCCTCCCCTGCTTTAGCCAGGACAGGGATGGCCTCAAACATCCAAGCCTACATTGTAAAAAAACAATCCATATCATAATTCAAAAACATATTAAAAAAATATAACAAAAGCTTATAATATTACCTGCATGCCCATGGGAAGCCAAACAAATTGTACGTCGCGGTCTTTTCTTCTCGACCCATTGGGAGTGCTTTAACGCAAGGTCTTTGCTTGCAGGGACTCCATGGTTCGCTTAAATGATACCGTCCCCAGGATAAGCATTAAAGAAATTCAAGTTGCTTACAAACTTCACCCAATCAATATCATGGCTTTTGTTGGGTCACTAGCCATTAGGACGAATATAAGAACAATACCAAGCACAGTTGAACGTCTCTAAATCGTCAAACTCACCATCTTTTAACCTGTCCTCTAATTCCTATGCCTTAATGACTTGTTCCCGCTAAAACTTTTTAGCCAACCTTTTGGCTCCCGTACTGTCCGTTATTCTTTTTTTCTCTCAACTCACATGGCAATTCCCCACATCTTAAGCCAGTCACCAACGCAATCCATCCTCCCGAAAGTATTGGCTTTCCATCCACCATGAACCACATTTCGTGCTTTTTGTTGCTTTTATTGAGTGCAGCAACATATAATGCACTCCGACCCTCTGAATGTCTTTTCCATTTTGTGTCCATATCCCAAAAATGACTGAAAAAAGTCTCTTTGAATCTCCTTCACCATTCCTCACTGTCCCTAAAATCCCGTTATTCTCGTTAAAACATCCAACTTGACCTCACTGTCACCTCACAGGGAAGTATGTACCGTATCGCTTCAACCTCCAATCGTACTCTCTATATTTACGCTCGGAAAATCTGCACAATCGATATAAACAAATATCAGCAAAAAAAATTAAACCAAATCAAATATAACAAAATACGCTCTGGAAGAATCGCTTAAGCGATGGGCAGATGATTCTGCCTCATACAAGATCTTAAGCGATCTGAAATCGTTTAAGCGATACAAAGGATCGCTAAGAGATTATAGATCTGGAAGTTTGGTTCTGCCTCGGAAAAGATCGCTTAAGCGACCAGAAGTAAAAGCGATTCATCACTTTCACTCTTGCGGTCGCTTAAGCGATTACAGATCGTTAGAGATCTTCTACGAGGCAGAATCAACATCTGCCAGATCTAAGATCGCTTAAGCGATCTTTTATATTGCTTAAGCGATTCATCGCTTTTACTCTTAAGCAATCCAAAATAGCTTAAGCGACCAAAAGTAAAAGCCATCAATCGCTTAAGCGATACAAAGGATCGCTTAAGCGATCTTAGGTCTCGGCAAGTACAAATACCTTTTCTTCGGCGGCCTCCTCCTCCTCCTCCTCCTCCTTTGATGAACTCTCGCTGGACTCCTCTTCCTGGCCTGAATTCTGCCCGGCCTCCTCTTCTTCTTCAGAACCGTTTTGCTCCTGTTCTCTCTCTTGTTGTGCCGCCGTCGTCTCCGCTGCTAGAACACCTTCACTGATCGGAGGATCCATCGGAGCAGCCATTGAACTGCTTGCGCGGCCGGACTCTACGATTCGAATAGGCGTTGGGTTTTCCTCCTCATTGTTAATGTTAGCCATAGTTTTAAGAAAGGAAGAAGCTTTAGGATTGAATTTGGGTATGAAAATTCACCGGAATGTGGACTGTTATCGCTAAGATGCGTTTAGGGATTGAAGATAGTGATTTTTGCCTTAATTGGTTTCGATTAAGCGATTTGAATATTTGTGGCTCTTTTGTAAATTTCAAATTTTAAAAACTTTCATTAATTATTTTTGTCCTTATATGTTTGAATCTTTTCATTTTAACCTATTTTATATGTTTAATGGATCCTAACTGTGCCATATCAGCTTTTCTAAATAAAAAAAAAAATATATTAAACAGTTTCAAGGCCATTTTTTAAAATCCAAACTTGGGATAGCCGGTCAGCTAAATTTCCTCCTACGGTACCAGTAAGTTGCACATTTTCATTTTTAGATTTGTTCTCACTGCTTCATTCATTGATTGATTTACATTTTATTTTGTTTTCAGGCTTTAATACTTCTGCGACAGTCCTTCAACTCTTATCACTCAATTGACAAATTAAATTTAAATTACCAAGCTCGTGCAGAATCTCTGAACAAACCAGACCTTGTTTCACCAGACGAATTTTACCGTAACGAACTTCTCGACACTAACTCCATTTCCTTATCCACCACTTTCTCCACCATCGCAACCACCACCAGTGCCACCATTACCCACAACCTCTTTCATTATTTATGGACCCTTTTTTCTCTCCTCAAAGTCAACCCCTTTGCTAAGCTGACCACTGACGATTTCTCCGCTCGCACCCCCTCTTGGACGCATGAGTTTCTTGGCTTCGCCGGCTCTTACTCCTTCCCCTCGTTGTCGGACACTCTCAAATTAAGGGTTCAAGAGAACGTCAAACGATATGCCAGTAATTATGCTACTTTGTTTATTCTCTTCTTTGCCTGCTCCTTGTAAGAATCTTTATTCTCTTTCTCTCTGTTTGTGTTTGTATACATGTAGGTTCTTGTTTAGTTCCTTGTGGGTGTTGAGGAAAGTGGTTATAGTTTCGAAATTGTGTGTCTTCATGAGTAAAGTTTTCGTTTTTTGGTAATTTTATCATTTCTGTCTTGGGTCGTAGAAATTAGAATGCGAAGATTGAAATTTAATGTTAATATGGTACCTTTCTTTCTTTTTTATGTTAATTTATGTGATTTTTGTTTCTGTTTATTCGTTTAGTTAGACTTTCTTTGTCTTTGTGATTCCAAGTACCAGATGCCACTGGCTCTTCTTGGGTTGATCTCAAGTTTGGCGATTTGGGGTTTGTTCAAGTTTTGTAGTGATAAATGGATATTTGATCGATATCCTGTGATTCGGCAAGTTCTGGTTCGTATTGTGCAATGTGGTGGGTTATCATATCTTCCATAAATGGCTGCCTTCAATGAGAGAACTTGATGTGGTCTTCTCTTCATCATCATATATTAATGCCATAGTAACGAACTGTTGTACTTTCAGTTATGGAACTTAATTTAGGACTTCATATCTGGTTCTGGTGTTGTGAAATATATGAAAAGTAACCATGTTTATGGGGCAGCTGAGGGCATAGTTAATGTTAGCGCATAACTTGCTTATTGGGATACAATATGGACTATTGTTCTTTGTGTTTTGATTGAGGGTTAAAATTTTGTAGATTTTGGTTTTGTTAGAAAGAATGCTAGTGAAGTTCCGGTTAGGAAGTAAAGGACTTTAAAAATTAATATAATAGAAAGAATCCATAAAGCTAACAGAAACAAATGAGATGAGACAAGAAAAGTATAGGTTCCATTAATCACTTCTTGAGAAAAAATTGCACTTGAGGGGGAATTATGTTATGTTCAAGTGTCAAAGTCGAGGACGGTCGCTATCTAGAATAAACATTTTGGTTTGACAATTTTACTAAGAATTTTCTGACTACAAAATAAGCAAGAAAGGTTGTACACACTAGCATTTTACAGGAAATCATAGTTATGATTCATGATCCATTGGCTCTCATTATGGATCAGTGTAATATAACCTGAGATGTTATTGATATGGTGTTAATATCTTCTTCATTAGCTATAGGTGCAAACTGGTCTTTGGTTCAATAACTTACACTTATCTCATAGTTATGATTTGGTGTCTTGTATTTTACATATATATTCTTTAATATATAAGTATAGATTATCTTCCTCTCAACTAATACATATATAGAAATTATGCTTAGATGGTGATTGAATATTTATACTCATAGGTGGAGTTTAGATGAGGGTTTTAGAATTCCATAAACAAAGGTAGAAATCACTGTTAGTGTTTTACCTGCAGGTCTTGTTGACTCCTACTCATTTAGCTATTGTCATGGAATATGCTGCTGGTAGCGAACTCTTTGCCAGAATATGCAGTGCTGGTCGGTTTAGTGAAGATGAGATTGTATTATGGAGCTTGCTTCTTTAAATTACATCTTAGGTTCACTTATCTCTGGTTTAATTGTATTGTTGTGATGCAAATTGATTTTCTTAATGATTTGTTTGTAAGCAAAACCCTTTTCACAACAGGCAAGGTTTTTCTTCCAGCGGCTAATATATGGCGTCAGCTACTGTCATGCCATGGTATGATGATATCCAAAATTTAATTTTACATCTTATGTTATGATCTCTACCTTATATACTTATTTCTTTTACTGCAGGAAATTTGTCTCAGGGATCTGAAGTTGGAAAACACACTATTGGATGGAAGTCCAACACCAAGTGTTAAAATATGTGACTTTGGTTACTCAAGCGTTTTTGTTTTTAGTTGAATAGCAGCTTTGTTGACCTGATAAATGGCACATAACTCTGCTGCTTTCTTACAACTCTTACCTTTTTTTTTCCCCGAAAGAAAAAAACTCAGTACTAAGGGGTTGTAAGTTATAAATTATATCTTACATTATAGTCCTTAGTTTTAAATTTCATTATTGTTTTTGCTTTACATCTTGCAATCAGGATTATTGCACTCACAGCCTAAATCAACTGTTGGAACTCTAGCATATATTGCTCCGGAGTTCCTGTCATGAAAGGAATATGATGGAAAGGTATTGAGTTTTTATTTTTCATCTGATTTTGTGTGTTCCAGTAAACACTTGGTTAGCATTGCTGATGGAAGTATGGAGACATTCATGCGGATCAATAAATGATAGGAGCAATCAAATGATAATATGAACCTGCAGTTCTAAACTCCTCCATTTTGCCTGGATTCGAAATCCATGACTTTAGACAATCCACAAGTGTGTGGAGGCCTATGCCACTAGACCACATGGCCATTGGAAAACATGAGAAACTACATGCTTGTCACATTGGTCTCTTGTTTCTGTGGATGCTCTTATTCAAGAGCTCCTAATGAATTCGAATGCAAAAGCATATATATTATAAATCAGAGGCTTTTGTAGTAGTGATTTCTGCATTTTGAGCACTTTTAAATTTCATCGTAGGCTTTTTAGTTTGTGCGATTTTAAAATTTGGGATATATATTATGCATTTCAAGTGCTTAATTACGTAGGCTGTGAGTGACCTAAACTTTTTCAGTTAAAACAAGACATAAACTCCGAATTATTCATTTATTTTAATCCAAGACTTAAGATTTGAAGTCAAAAGTTGCATTTGATGTTTCTAAGTTATTGGATGAAGATAGATGAGTGGTTAAGGATTTCTATCTCAATTTAAGTCAAAAACTTGTCTCACCAAGTCATGTCCCTTGACTGTATGTCATAAAACATGAGACACTGTATTTATTTTATAATATTATATGTGACCATAATTTTACACAGCTTTATTGCTCTCAAATTCCCATTAACATCTTGTTCTTTAAATTTTATCTTAGTAACTCTTTTTAAGTGTATGTATTTATTTGGCTAACATATTTTTTCGCGATATCATTTGGTACTGGACTACTGGTTGACTTATGTGAAGCTTATCCTTACGGTGGATTCTCTTTTTCATTAATCACTTGCAGGTGATGTTGCTGCCCTAGGCTGGTGGGATTTGTTTATAAATTTTGGGTAAAATTTAGCGGTCTTTATAGCAATGTTTGATGATTGGAGTTGATCTTTTTGTGCCTATATATATATATATATTATATTATAGATATAGTATATATATATATATGAGTGTTAGAATGATTATGTATATACTTTGATAGTATTATGAAAATCCCATTCATCTGTTTCCATGACAAATTTGTTGAATGTTTAAATTTATTGTTAGAATTGTGATAATTGTTGTTGGTTGAGGAATATTACCAAAAATTTCATTGCATTATTCTATTATTTAATTGGTAATGAATTACAAAATAAAAATATATATTTACAAAAAAAATCCTTAACACTTTTAACACCATCAAGGATGAAACATTATTATTAATAATTTTATTATTATTAAATTTATTTTTTTCGTTAAAATCTCGACAATTCAAAGACTATCAAGGATTTGTTAAAATTCGGTCAAATCCTTGACGGGTTATAACTGTCAAGAAATTCTTGACAGTTAAAAAACGGTAACCACCATTTTTTGACACTGACTTCAATGATGGGTGAAGAATTGTCAAGAAACCCCCTTCTTGACAGTTATTACCCGTCAAGAAATATGGTTTTTCTAATAGTGTGATTAATGGGAACCCAAGACCTCTTGGATTATTAAAGGGAAACCAAAACCTTGTAACAACAGTACCTGTAATTGGTATTAACTGATTGCTTTAATAACAAATACATTATTGAGGAATAAAACAAAAATAATAGATTAAGATAAAACCCTATCCTTACCCAATCTCTATCCTTGTCCAATCTCTATTCAATGATATCCTAATTTATTTTTAAAGTTGTAACAAAATTTAACAGTCACGTAACAAAGAGCATAGTAATTTTGAGAGAAAAAGTTAAAATGATTAGAAAGTAGAATATTAGAAGTTAAAATTAAGCAACGAAAATGAATACGACATCGTAAAAGCCTTAAGGGTGTGTTCTTTTATAAATTTTATCTTGTGTAATTTTGAAAATAATTAAAAAAACATGTTTGGTATGTTTGTCTAAATATAGTATTTGAAAACGCAAAAAATAAAAATATGTTTGACATAGTTGTTTAAAAATAAAACATATAAATATGAAAATACGAAATTTATCACCTATTAATTTTATAGTCACGTTTGTAATTTTGTGTTAAGATATAAATGAAATTATTTGGTTTTTGGTGATAATTCTTGGAGTAAAAGATTTATATTTATCTTAAAAAATAAAAATAAAAAAACTAAAAAGGAAACCCAATCGACGAGGCCCAAATAATTTGAAATAGTGTGAAGTTAGTTTTTGGTGATTAGAGACGTTTAGATTTAGACTTATGAATTATGATCTGAGGGAGTGGGAGAGCTGCGATTACAAAGTTTGAAATTGAATTAAACCCTAAAACCAGAATTGAAGATGGAGATAGAACTGGAGCCTCGAGTTAAAGCATTGAGTTACAAAGTCAAGGGAATGTCAAGAGAATCGCTGTCGCAGAAGGCTTCTCACGTCCTCGACACCGACCTCCGCTCCCACTGGTCGACCGCCACCAACACCAAAGAGTGGATTTTACTCGAACTTGACGTAACTCAACCTTTCTCTCTCTTTCTCTTATATTAATTATAACTTCAATTTCTATTTCTATTCGTAGAATTCCTTTCAATTTCTTTTCCCTTTGTCTTTCTACGCAATAAATTCAGTCAAAAGTTTGTGTTTTGTTATATTCATTGCGCCATATTTATACTTAATTTAGTTTTCAAATTTGTTGGAGCTCTATTTTTGTTTTGCTAAAGAAGGTGTGACTGCCGTGGAGACTTTTTGTGTGAACTTGTTAATTTATGAGAATTATTTATGGATTTTAATTGAAGAAAATAACCCTCCTATATGGGGTTGAGTTGGTGCATCAGGAGCTTTTCAGAAAATGGAAGTGTATTGGTCGTGGTTAAATGTATCCTAGGGAGAAGTTAAACTGTTCAATTTGGTTGAAGTAGGACATGAGATAAACATTTTTCATGGTTGTTAATTGGTTTCATTTCGTCCAGTCAGTAGTTTTTTTTCATGGTAGTTGTTTTATTATTAAAATTTAAGAACATATATTAACTTATTCACAATTCACATAATTGTATTAGGCTTATTAAATAACTGAGCTGTTGTACCAGGCTTATTTTAGGATGTGGTCACCTAGCTCAGTATACTACTCCAATTGTATACTACATTTAATAGGAAGAAAGTGGGAAAAAATTGAGAATGATATGGAAGGAGAAGAGGATTGGAGACAACTTTTTTAAAGCTTGGATTTCTTTCTAAATTCACTATTAATCATTCTTTTTACCAGAGGGTGGGATGTTAAGGGGAGAAAAAAAAATCATGCTTAGCCTTTTTGACTTTATTTATTTTCTTTTTCCCACTCAATCAAGCAAAAGGTGTCATGACATCTTGCATCCTAATGTTACGGGCTGGGAGTTTCACACCCAAAAGGCTAACCTATTAGGTGGAGGGACTTCCCCCCTTTATAAGCCCAAACCCTCCCTGATATGTTTCTGATGTGGGATTGGTTACATTCTTCCCCACCGAATCTTGTGACGCCCTTGTTATAGGTGGTGCTCCTTGCCTACCCGTCCACTTCACTTTCGTGTGGACTCACAATCACATGTGGACGCCCTTGCATGGGTGCTTGACGGGACATTGAAAGACGGACTGAGTCCGCTCTGATACCACTTGTTACAGGCTGGGAGTTTCATACCCAAAAAGCTAACCTATTAGGTGGAGGAACTCCCGCTCTTTGTAAGCCCAAAACCTCCCCAATATGCTTCTGATGTGGGATTCGCTACACTAAACTGCCTTTCCATTGGCTCTGACCTTTCCTTCTGCTTTAATTCCTTCTCAGATAATTTGGTAAATCCCCTTATTTATAGCTGGTAGTTTATACGTTATACCTTCACATTTTCATAATTTTAACTTAAATTTTTGGTAGTTTGGCATTGTGATTATGTGCTGCTTATCTGGTTTGGTCTTTTGTTTCGTACTAATACTAAACATGAGGAAACTAGCTTTACAGGAATGGAGATGATCATATCTGCAAGAATTAATTTGGAATTGAGATGATCATATATGCTAGAATTAATCACTTCTATTTTCTACTTTGCAGGAACCATGTTTACTATCACATATTCGAATTTATAACAAGTCTGTACTTGAATGGGAAATTGCTGTTGGCTTACGTTACAAGGTTAGGTGCTTGTACTAAGGACATTTTTCTGATTCATGAAGTTCCTTGTCTTTCCTCAAGTATGAAGATTAGAGCTTGGTTTTTAATTAGATCTTGTGGAGCTTGCAATTTTGCTCTTAACAAATGATTTACGCGCTACCTTAGCTAATTGTGTATCTATATCCAGGAAAATAATCCACAAATTTTTTTTTCTCTGAACAACAATTTGCATGCTACTTTAGGTACTTACATATCTATGAAGGAGAAAACGTTAATGAAACAATGTAACTATATCATATCATTTAATTGGGCTAAATTTTTTTCCATGGCATAAAATGTGATTTAATGACAATATTTTCAATAACTAAAAAGTTATTGAATCGAGCCTTGTAAGGCAAAATATGTTATGTAACAAAATTGAAATTATTATATACATGAGAAGAGCACTAGCTGTAGTGGGATGAGGATTGTTGTTCTCATTGGTCAAAGAAGAGATTCAGCGTACATGGGGCTGTAGGAGAATGCAAGATTAGTTACAAAAGAAGTGCAAAATTATTATCCAACTTCACTGTTTTGTACAACAATATTAACTATGAATTATGTCTCCTTCGGATCAATCTAAGCTGAGATATGTTATTGTTGCCGAAATCATATTAAGCAAGCCAGGAAATTGTGACAAAACCATAGATAATTTACAAAATCAAGAGAAAAGAAGAATCTAGTCCATTGATTCATATGAAAAAAATAAGAAGAAAAGAAAATGTAAATTTCATTGAGAATCACTCAAAGGTATAAGGAGTGTGAAGCAGCACCCATCAAGGAAAACAAACAAAGCTATTAAAAATCTCAACAATCAAATTGCATAATACAGGATGGTGATACTCTTCAAATTAGGGACTGAATCAAGAACTGAAGCTGTTCACTTTTGGCTTAATATATTGTTGTAATTTTATGGTCATAAGTTTTGTTGTCATTTTCATTTTGGCCCAGAAGTAAATTACTTGTCTTGCTATTGCTTAGAGGTTAGTAACGGTCGCAATTTTATTGTTCATTTGCCTATTTTATTTGCTTTGCAAGGTTACTTAGCACTATACTCTTTATTTTATTTTGTATAAGAATCTCAAGAAAACCAATGAGTTGAAGAAAATATTACATAGAATTACAAGCTATCCACAGTATATTAATTCGATATGGGTCAAGACAGCGCCAAAAAAAAAAAATCTAAATAAAGATACAAGACATAATGAAAGGTCCTGAAATTCATAAAAATCCTAAAACTATACTGCTTTGATCAGATAACTGTAGTCTCTCAATTGTTAACAATAATGAAAAAGGCACATCTTGAAATTCAGGTTATATAGAATCCCAACGAGAAGCCCAAAACTTAGCTTTGTTCCATAATAAGACCAATTGCGCCTGCCCCCCAACCAAACCCCCCCTCCCCCCTCTTTTCTCATAGATAGTGTGATCTACATAAATTAAGTTTTAGGTTACTTTTTGAGGCAATTGAAGATGCATAGTAGTAAATTTTCACTTTTGTGGTGCAATTTTTTTGTGATCCTTTTGATGTGTGATGTGACCTCACTAAGTTGTGATGCATTAGGCTTCAACACTGTGTCTTTGCTTTCATTGTTTTTCTATCTTCTTTACTGCTGTAGCTTGCCTTTGACCCCTATTTTTAAAGTGTGGGTTTTATCCTGACCAAGTACGAAATTTTGAGGCTGATACCATAAAATCCCATGTTTTTCTGCAATTGCATTGCTATATGAAAATAGCTCGTGCATTGTTCTGTGTTGAGTGTGATATATTCCATGTTAGGAGGAGTTGTCTTCAATCA